AGCTTCCCAAGCGTTAGATGATGGTCACGCCTATGGAGCCCTGCAAGCTGCTGCCTGGTGAGAGAGGCCTGGGCAGTGCATTCTAGGGTTCCTCTGGGACCACCGGCAAGGCGCGAAGTGTCCGTCTACAGGGTTCCGTGAGTGGCGACTGAGCCAGCCTCACCTGGCACCGGGCACGGACCAGGGTGGACAACGTACGACCCAGCTCCCGAGACATCAAGGCGAAAGCCTGAAGAGACGCATCCAGCATGCCTATAGTCAACTGGTCAGGCGACTGGCCCTCCAGGGCAGATGCGAGACCCAGCAGCAAATGGGAGAGGGAGTTACCAATACGCCCCATCCTAGCCCCTGAGTCGTAGTAGGCTCGGCAAAGCAGGTCGTCCGTGATGCGACACTGCTGCCGTGGACAGCGAGCGCTAGCTCGGAGGGCCTCCTCTGGAGGAACAATAAGGGAGGCAATGCCAGGTTCTCCAGCCGGCATCTGCCCTAAGCAAAACCTTGGGGCCTCCTGCATAGCAGCGAGGGCTCTCCCATCTGACGTCGGGCCAGAAAGAGCCTGAGTATCAGACCAGCAAGCATGGAGTTCCCCAATATACTCCTCTGAAGGCGGGACAGCCAGGGTGGCCGCCCCAGTCTCACGGCACCTAAAAAAGGCGCCGGAGGTGGGAGGCTGGGCCTGTCAAGAATCCACCTGTAGCAGTGCCAGGGCAGCTCTCACAGCAGTGGCCACCGGCTCCCCCATGCCTCCCATAGAGATGCTCGATTCAGCATCTGACCCCCGTGGGCTACGTACCCGGGGTTCCACTCGGAAAAGGGTGTCAGAAGCCGCCGACGAGAGGGCATCCTCATTTAGGCCTGAAGCCTCATCGGTAGCCGGAGACTAAACCAACCCCTGATCAGGGGGAGGTTGTAAGGACTGGAGCAGAGCCTTCATCTGGGCCAGCTCGGAGGACAGCTGATCCACCCTTGAAGACAGCCCACCGTCCGACTGGCGGGGCTTCTTTGCCGCCGTAAACAGAACATCTGTTGCGGAACATTTGGGGTGTACCCACTGGCCAGGGGGCAACTGTTCCTCATGAGAGCCCATCCAGGGTATGGTCTGTTCAACTGAGGACAGCCGGGCCAGCCGCGCCGCATGGGGGAGAATGCTGCAATTGGAGCAGGTGGCATCGGTAAGTGCCTCCTTTAGGAGGTCAACACCCAGACAAGGAGGGCACAGGTCATGACCATCCTCAGGCTGCAGAGGGGCCAAGCAGGTGGAACAAGACAGATGTTCCATATCCTGGTGCTAGCTCAACAGGGCAGAAGTCGCCCCTAGTGAGGTAAATGCAAACAGCAACTGGCTGTTTCAGATATGACAAACCAAGGAACTCGGCACGGGCCGAAAACGCCACTGGCGAGGTAAATAAATGAGAAGCATCAGCTGTGAAAACCACCAGCTGCCAAACTAAACACAGCGGGGCGAGACGCCACGCGCGGGGTTAGGAAAAGGAACGAAAAAACAGACTCACCGCACACCAGATGAGATCCGTAAACCGTCACTCGCGCAGTCCCTGGAGGGCAAGCACGCCCGCAGCTCCGATCACAAATGATCACGGGGCTACTAGCAACAAGCCGACGGAGGAAGCGGTTTATTCAGAAAAACTCATGTGTCTGTAGAAAGAAAACCGCTCACAACAAACCTGCATGCGAGAAGGTGAGAAGGACTGAACTACCGGTGTCACGTGCCTATATAGGCTTCCGCTAATCACCGGTAGGTCACAGGTGACTTTGTTGATACTAATTCTCGACCTGTGCAAGCGCAAGAGTGATCATTCAGTGCTTTAAGCACCGCCTCTGGCGGTCAGTAGGCATGAAATAGAACAAAGGTTTAGACAGCTACTGCTGGTTAGGTGAAGGAAACTACTTGGCTAAAGGCTCAAGGCTAAGGGCTAAAGGCTAAGGGCAGCAGCTTTGCTAAAGGCTAAGGGCAGCAGCTTGGCTAAAGGCAGCAGCTTGGCTCAAGGCTAAGGGCAACAGCTTGGCTAAAGGCTAAGGGCAGCAGCTTGGCTCAAGGCTAAGGGCAGCAGCTTGGCTAAAGGCTAAGGGCTAAAGGCTAAAGGCAGCAGCTTGGCTAAAGGCTAAAGGCAGCAGCTTGGCTAAAGGCTAAGGGCAGCAGCTTGGCTCATGCTAAAGGCAGCAGCTTGGCTCATGCTAAAGGCAGCAGCTTGGCTCAAGGCTAAGGGCAGCAGCTTGGCTCAAGGCTAAGGGCAGCAGCTTGGCTCAAGGCTTAGGGCAGCAGCTTGGCTCAAGGCTAAAGGCAGCAGCTTGGCTCAAGGCTAAGGGCAGCAGCTTGGCTAAAGACTAAGGGCAGCAGCTTGGCTAAAGGCTAAGGGCAGCAGCTTGGCTCAAGGCTAAAGGCAGCAGCTTGGCTCAAGGCTAAGGGCAGCAGCTTGGCTCAAGGCTAAAGGCAGCAGCTTGGCTTAAGGCTAAAGGCAGCAGCTGGGCTTAAGGCTAAAGGCAGCAGCTGGGCTTAAGGCTAAAGGCAGCAGCTGGGCTAAAGGCTAAGGGCTAAGGCTAGGTAACAGCTCTTCCCTGGAGAGCCACAGCATGTCAACTACTTTTTCAGAAGTCTCAAACTAGGCAGCTGTTGAGCTTCTGCCCACCGTTCTTTAGCTCAGAACTTTTCTTTTCTTCTTTACTGCTTTTTCTATTTGCTCTTTTTTTTTTTAACTAGCTCAAAGTTTAAACTGTGTTCAGGTTGTTGGTGTTGCTCCCAGATTAGCGGCGGTCCCCGGCACCGGTTCTGGCCCTGAACAGGGGAAGCGTCCTCACACTGAGGCTGACCGCCGAGCAGACGCTAAAGTGGAGCCAGTGATGACCGTCAGTCAGGTGAGTCTCAGACCTGCAGCACCTGTGGTCCCAGGTGCGCCTAAACCATGGGGTAGTTCAGACGTCGATGCAGCTAAAGTCCCTAACTTTATGAAGCATCTGAAAATAAACTTTTAATTTCCCCTGTAGGAGACCCTGGAAAGTGTGAAGAAGTGTAAGAACTTCCTGATAACTCTGATCAAGCTGGCATCCGGTGATAACAGGTCTTCCAACATGGCCGACAACGTCAGACGACTGGTCCGGAATCTGCTGGTGCTCATGCCGCCTCCATCCAACCTGTTTATCATCCGTGTTTAACTGGCTGTTGAACAGACCAGTCCTTTCAGAAGGTTGGCCATCATTGACTCATACATCCTTTATAATTTATCATCCTGCAGGAAGGGAAGCTGGAAGCCGAGGAGTTTACCGAGCAGCTCTATAAGGAGCTGAAGTCCACTCCTCAGCCCTGTTTGGTTCCTTTCCTAAAGGTACCTGAATGGACCTAAATATCTCTACTAAGTTCCTGCAGACAGAGATTTAAATGTTTTTCTACATTTTCTTGATGTTCCTAGAAAAGCTAGACTTTGCCCAGATTAGCGTTGGTTCAGATTAGCTGCTCCTCATGATTGATTTCTCCTGTTGCTGCAGAAAAGCCTTCCTGCTGTCCGCTGGCTCACTGCAGATCCTCAGCTCTTCATTCAGAAAGCTTCCTCACATCCTCCGGGACCTCCTCCCATCAAGCAGCCCGCGCCTCCTTCAGGCATGACCACCAGCCAGCAGGTGACCACACGGCTTCTTCTTCTATTTTTTAATGGCGGATGGCAAACAAAGGTGCATTACCACCACCTTCCAGATTGGAGTATGGATCAGACAATCTATTATATTCTCCCTAAAATACCCGTTCATCTTAGAAAACTAAAAATACTCCCAAAAACTACATCCCCAGATGACCTTTGAAACAATTCCCTTATATCTAGTTTATTTTTATTCCTGCCTAACTCTCTACGCAACATCTCTCTTTCCTGAGTATATTTATTACATTCTACAGTTACAGTTTCTAATTTCCCACAAATACAACACCCTGTATTATGCTTATTCATTATTTTAAGAGTACTATTTAATCCTGTATGTCTGAATCTTATCCTAGATATATCTTCTTCTTTTTTAATTCTATTACATTTTCTTGATTCTCTAACCTTTTTTTGAATACTATAATAAAATCTAGCATTCCCTCCTTTATCCCACTGTTCTTGCCAATTCTTCTTGAAATTCATTTTAATAATAGTCTTTAACTCATTTTTACTTATGTTAATGTTTAAATCAACATCCTTTTTTACAGCACTCTTAGATAAAACTATCAGCTAACTCATTACCTATAAAACCACTGTGAGCAGGAATCCTTGATTCTGAATTACTTTCTGGAATACTTATTAATGCACAACTTCAACCACAGGGCTTTGCTAACTGGGCAGCTTTTCATTGGGGGTTAAGCTAGGGTGACCATATTTTCATTTGGGAAAACCAGGACACCTTGGAGCG